AATTGAAAATTTTGAAATTAAAATATCTATGTAATCTTATATGGTATATAGTTTAATCTGTATATATATATATATATATATATATATATATATATATATATATATATTTGTTTTATTATTGAATGATACTTTTTACTTATATGGTTTTAAAATCATGTATATCTTTTTATAATAAAATGTTAAACTATTGATCATTAATTTTTAACATAATAATTTTAATAGTTTAGTTATTTATTCTCGTTTCTTAAAATTCAAAATATAACCTATACGAAAAAATCTAAAGTTTCATTTTATAGCTAATTTGATTGTTTAATTTATTTTAATAATATAAAATTAAATAAAAATGATGGAGGATATATAAACTGTTATCAAATATTTATTATTAGAATCATTAAGTGTCATATATATATATTAGACATTTATGGTAATTCCGTAGGTTTTATTTATGGAAATAAAATAAAATAGTAATTATATCTTAGGGAACAATCATTAAGTGTCATATATATATATTAGTCATTTATGGTAATTCTGTAGGTTTTATTTATGGAAAGAAAATATCATATCATATCATTATATCATATAGTTTGACTAACTAATGTATCTAGCAACCTATAAAAATCCAATGTGTACTTACTTATTTTTCAATTGAATCTAATTGACTACCTAATTGAATGACACCTATGCATTGGGGCCTCTTTTAATTAATACAAAATTGAGGTTACATCTTTTCAAATGTTCCTCAATTAATATATAGGGGATATGTATTATCTGAAAGTTGCACCTTAATGTGTTTTCATATGGTTTTACAATTACTTTAATTTTTATAGATGTGCAAAGTTCTTATACTTTTTTTGTCTAAAAAAATTCTTATACTTGGAATTAGATGCGTCTGCCTAAACAATAATTTTGTATAGACACTTAATCATCTCATAGAGATTTCTTGAACATTCATAACATATATCCAAGTATCAAAGTTCTTATACTTGGATATGTTCAAGAAATCGCTATGAAATAACTAGGTGCCTATACAAAATTATTGTCTAGGTGAGCGCATATACCAATTAATTTTTGAATCATTAAATTGATTTTCAAAACAATAAATCAAGATCTTGTCGAGTAGGTAGGCGACTAAGCATCATTTGAAATGTATACAAATGCATCATTATTCATTCTTTTATCCCCTATATATTAATTGAGGAACATTTGAAAAGATGTAACCTCAATTTTGTATTAATTAAAAGAGGCCCCAATGCATAGGTGTCATTCAATTAGGTAGTCAATTAGATTCAATTGAAAGATAAGTAAGTCCACATTGGATTTTTATAGGTTGCTAGATACATTAGTTAGTCAAACTATATTATATAATGATATGATATGATATTTTCTTTCCATAAATAAAACCTACGGAATTACCATAAATGACTAATATATATATATGACACTTAATGATTGTTCCCTAAGATATAATTACTATTTTATTTTATTTCCATAAATAAAACCTACGGAATTACCATAAATGACTAATATATATATATGACACTTAATGATTCGAAAAAATCTAAAGTTTAATGATCAATAGTTTATGTTAAAAATTAATGATCAATAGTTTAACATTTTACTATAAAAAGATATACATGATTTTAAAACCATATAAGTAAAAAGTATCATTCAATAATAAAACAAATATATATATACATATACAGATTAAACTATATACCATATAAGATTACATAAATATTTTAATTTCAAAATTTTCAATAAATTTTTAAGAACATTTATAAATTATAAACTTATTAAATTTTTCACATTGAAATTTTTTGTTATCAATGATTTAAATATCTTAGTTCTTTTTTAATTTTATATTTTTAAAAGATATTAACAATCGATAATATGGTTATTTTTGGTATATACCATACAAACCGAATATATGTGATTTTATAAGAACCATAGGATTTGGATATGGTTTGATTTATAATCGATTAAACTGAAACATGTAAATATGTATATATTTATAACGACGTATGAATATCTATTTGTTACATGAGTTGAACTATAATTATAATTTGTAAATAGCTAACAATTTATTACAACTAAGACTTCTTATTTTGATCTTTTGTTTTTTTAACAGTAACTAAATTGAAGTAACGATTATAAATTTGATGGACAACAATTAGTTGAAATTCTTTACAACTTTTTTTTTATCTTTAAACAAACATAGTTGTGTTCAATCGAAGACATATTGGTTTGATGAACACTAAATATGGAAGAATATAAAAACTTTTCTTTCATGCTTTTGTTTTGTTTTTTATTTTTATTTTCAAAATTTAGTGTTTTGATATCAATTCTAGATTAGATCATTTTATTAGATGATAGAAGTTTTTTTTGTTTTTTATTATTTTATTTAAATATATATATATTTTTTAATAAATGACTCTGTGACAATATGACTCTAAATATGATCATATTATATATTTGTATAATATATAATATGATCTCAAACTAAATAATTATGTTTTTTGGTATAAAATTGAATAAACTGAAAACCGATAGTATATAAACCAAATCAAACTGAAGTACATAGATTTAGAATAGTAGTTATATTTTAATGATCGAAATACCAAAAAATCGAGCCGAACCGAAACCCGATATCCGGATTGAACACCTCTAATCCGAATGAAACCGAACTATTGTTTCATTTTTAAAAACATAATAAAAGTAATAGTTTCATCCCGCGCAAGGCGCGGGTCTTATCCTAGTATTTATTATTGACAGAATCTGTCATTGGAACACTTCTTCATGTCATCTTAGAGCAAATTCCATAGCTAGATACTAAAATATAAAAAAAATAGAAAAAATATAAGAGAGAAGTTTCTCAAAAAGAGATTTTCTTGAAGAGAAATTTTCATGAACATGTGTTGGCACTTTAGGTTGACCACGAGCGAAATGCTGAGTGAGTTTAGGGTTCATTTGTAATTTCCATAGGTATGTGGTAAATTTACAAAAAACCTTAAAATTCGAGGTCTTTTTAACAATTAATTTACGGGGAACCCTTGTTTCGTGTTCTTACACAATCTTCTTCTTCCTCCTCCTCTTCTCTGAATAGACGAGATTAGATCTTTCCCTCTGTCCCATCATCTCTTTTCGAATCGTGCAATTTCCTCGTTTTGTGATTGAAACATAGAAGATGAGTACGAAGAAGGTGGAAGGACCATCAGCTCCGGCGAATCGTCGTGACCCTTACGAGGTGCTCTCTGTTTCAAGAGACGCCACTGATCAAGAAATCAAATCCGCTTACAGAAAATTAGCTCTAAAGTAATCTCCTTTTCAATTCCCAGATTCATAAAGATCTCTTCTTTCGTCGTGAAATTGAATTGAATTGATTGTTTTGAATTGAATTGAATTGAATTAAATTGACTCTGTTACTGTGCTTAAGATCTCTCCTTTGTTTCATTGTATTGATTGGATTTTTCAATTAGGTATCATCCGGATAAGAATGCTAATAATCCAGAAGCTTCTGATCTTTTCAAGGAGGTTGCTTTCTCTTACAGTATCTTGTCTGATCCGGAGAAGAGAAGGCAATACGACAATGCAGGGTTTGAGGTGATGCTTATGTCTCTCTTACTTGTTATAAGAATGTGTATGAGGAGAGTATTGTAGCTTTTTCATGGTTTTATTAGGCTCTTGATGCTGATGGAATGGAAATGGAAGTAGACTTGTCTAACCTTGGAACTGTGAACACTATGTTTGCTGCATTGTTCAGGTGAAGTTTTATATCTTTTTTTTTTTTTAAAACAATCTACTTTGAATCTTTTCCTTTAATTTAATAAATTGTCAAAATTTGTCAGTAAACTAGGTGTGCCGATCAAGACTACTGTGTCTGCAAATGTTCTTGAAGAGGCTATGAATGGAACTGTTACTGTGAGGCCTCTTCCTATTGGTACATCTGTTAGCGGGAAGGTCTCAACTCTGATTCCATGATTCTCTTCTTACTTCATGTCACTTGTGTCTTTGGGGTTTGAAGTTATCTAATTTATCATATCAGGTTGACAAGCAATGCGCTCACTTTTTCGGAGTTACTATAAGTGAACAACAAGCTGAGTCAGGGGTTGTTGTTAGGGTAACTTCAACTGCACAAAGTAAATTCAAAGTATGCTTCCACTGCTCTTGTGATTTGTTTTCATCTAATGACCGCCATCACTAACTTTGATATCTGTTCCATCTCCTTCCAGTTACTGTATTTTGAGCAAGATTCGAGTGGCGGCTATGGATTGGCCTTACAGGTACCAAAAGAATATTTTTCTCATATTATTACTTTCTTACTGAAGTGTCCATAGATGAGAAAAACAGGCAGAGACAGTAGTCTTTAACAGCATCTGGATTATATTTGTTCTTGCAGGAAGAGAGTGAGAAAACAGGCAAGGTGACATCAGCTGGCATGTACTTCTTACATTTTCAAGTATACCGGATGGACTCAACAGTCAATGCGGTACGCAAGTTCTGAACCTTTAGGCGCTCATAGTTACCTGACCTCTTAGAATAGGCAGAGGTTTTAAAAGGAAATCCAAATTGTGGTTATGGTGCAGTTAGCTGCAGCCAAGGACCCTGAATCCGCTTTCTTCAAGCGACTGGAAGGTCTTCAACCGTGTGAGGTCTCGGAACTGAGAGCTGGCACTCATATATTTGCAGTTTACGGTATGTAATCATCACTCTTTTAACCAATAGCTGGGTCGTTTCTGAGACCTTTGTTACTACTTTTCAGGTGATAACTTCTTTAAGACGGCATCTTACACAATTGAGGCACTCTGTGCCAAGACCTATGAAGACACAACAGAGAAGTTGAAAGAGATTGAAGCTCAAATTTTAAGAAAGAGAAACGACTTGCGGCAGTTTGAAACTGAGTACCGAAAAGTAACTTTTTCCACTATTGAGAGCTCAGTTAGTATTTAGGTTAACATGTGTAAGCTGATGGTCTGCTATGTTTCTTTGCAGGCTTTGGCTCGCTTTCAAGAAGTTACCACCAGATACACTCAGGAGAAGCAAACTGTATGTTAATAAATATCTTATAGCTTTATTCTTTATCGCATTGGTATTTAAGTGTTTGATATGTCTTCTTTGGATGATACTGAAAGGTGGATGAACTGCTAAAGCAACGAGACTCAATTCATTCGTCCTTCTCTGTCGTGAAGACACCAAGCAGCAGCAACTTGAGCAACGGAAGTAGCAGCAAAGCTCAGGGAGATGAACCAAAAGGAGATGGTGATAGTGCTGGTGAAGAAGGTGGAGCAGAGAGTAGAGACAAATCGAAAAGGAAATGGTTCAACTTAAACATAAAAGGATCTGAAAAGAAGGTTGGTTGACACAAGATGGTGAATGTGTCGGTATCTCAAGTCTCATTGGTGTTTTTTCATTCGTTTGTGGGAACTGATCCGTTGTCACTGGTATCTTTTGTGCGATTATATATGTTCATTGGAATGATCCATAGGCTCTTTTAATGCGGAAGGATTGTTGTGGTCATAGAAAAGCTTTTCAAGTTGGGATATGCAATACTTCTTTATATTGTAAGGTTTTGAAGTTACGTATAGTTTCCTGAAAAGATATATACATATATATATATATATATATATAAAATACAAACTACTGACAAAAAATATACTACAAACTTCGGCAAATTCAAAAATGAGTTTATTATTAGATCATTATAAATAATAAAATATGGAGATATAGAGATATCGGGGTAAAATTAAAAAAATATTCATAACTTAGCTTCAAATGAACATAAAAACATTAATATTAACTAAATACAATATATATTAAACTAAGTATTAAAGTTAATTATTCGTAGTACCTAACTATTTTAGGTACTCAATTAATTTATTAGTGTGTTTTGGATATATATTAAAAATTAAGATTAGATATGGTATAAGTTTTTTTTGTAATTTGGAAGTTTCAAGGTTTTTTTGGGATAACCAGTTTAAGTTTGAGTATGATTCAGATAAAATCAATAATCTGAAATACTGTAAAACAAGATTTTTTCGATATTTATGTCGAACTCTGATCAATTTAGTTTTATTTTCGGGTTAAGTTCGGTTCAGAATTTTGGGTTCAATTTATTTGCAAAAGCCCTAGTAGAAAGGAAAGTCAGACTAATGTTTTATATGATTCTCTAGACTTTATTCTTTGTGTGTGCATGAAGTTAATTAGCTATTGCTTGCTTATTGAGAATATTTTGAAAGTTATTGTAATGTCAAATGACTAGAGCTCAACTAATCTCGTCAATATGTTGTAACTTGTAAGGATGGCATAAGAATCAGGGATTATTGAGTTACGTGATATTCAATAATATTTATATAGAAGGCCGACCAAAAATGAATCACTTTTTATATACTCTTGATGCCACTGGATTAACAACAATTTTGGATTTGATTGGTGTCATCAAGTTTTCTTTAATGGCATTAGAGGTTTTCAACTGGTAGTGGAAAAATAGAAGCAATATGTAACAAACCTAATATAGTATGACTAGCTATGCCTAAGCCTAAGCATCTTTAAACAAAAACTAAGCCTATTACCCTACAAACTATTTATAGATTTAGAACATGATTAATGCGGATCTTTTAAGATAAGATTCTTAGTGTAATACTAGCTTTTGACCCGCGCGCCCACGCGGGTGTTTATTTCTCATAATCATATGTTTTAAGCTTTTGAAAATACAATAAATTTAATTGTTTATGCTTTTTATGTTATAGATTCATATGTTATTTAGGATTGACATTGATATGTCTTGTTTAGGGGTATTTAATCCGGTAAAACCGAAACAATGAAAACCGAACCGAATCGAAATAGAAAAATGGTTTGAATTTGGTAGTACCGAATATACCAAATTGATGTCTTTTTAAGAAACCGCGGTATATGGATATGGTTTGGTATATAAACCGAGTAAACCGAATAAAGCGATCAATTAAAATATAGTGATATAATTATATGTAAATTATACAATATAATTCATAATATATAAAATAATTTATTTAATTGATATGATATCCATACTTAAAATGTTGATTTTAATAATTTAATATTTTATTTAAAGTTAAAAATTACATTTTATTTTTATCAAAATTTACAAAGAAATACTTTTTTTTGCTGACAAATATGTGTGCTAATATATTAATTATTTAATAGTATTATAGATTACTGATATTTCTAATTTTTATTCTATAAAACTATAACTATTATTAACTTAATATGTTTACTAATTATTTAAATAGTAAAAAAATAAGAACAATTTATTCAAAAATTGAAATATTTTTCGTGTTATATTAAAGCCAATATCNTATAACTATTATTAACTTAATATGTTTACTAATTATTTAAATAGTAAAAAAATAAGAACAATTTATTCAAAAATTGAAATATTTTTCGTGTTATATTAAAGCCAATATCTAATTTTATAAAGTAAAATTCACAACATATTCTAAAATCTAAATATATTTTGTGATTTTTTGGTATATAACCGAAGAAATCAAAAATCGATGGTATATAAACCGAACCAAACCAAAGTAGATATAGATTTAATATGATATCTATTTTTTATAAACTGAAATACCAAAAAATCAAAAATACCAAAGCGAAACGATATCTTGATTAGACATCTCTAGTTTTGTTCAATGTGATTAGTCTTCACTTATAAGCTATAAGATTATTTTTTATTCAGTTTTATGTGTCTTGTTTTTTTGCTGTATTTTAGATTATCATTAGCAATTGATAAGAATGCTAATTGAGAAATTTGGGACAATGAATCAGGTTATGAAAACCGATGTTGTCTCATCCTTTTGGATGTCTTTGCAGGTCACTATTAAATGCATGTGTGGCTAAAAGAGAAAAATGTTAACATCCTCCGATGTAGATGGTGCTCTAGAATTAAGGAACCTTGAGATACAAATTCGAGCATAATTTTTTTCTAATTAAGTAATTAGTTTTCTAACTCTTAGATTTTCTATTGAAATAATAAAAAACTTTTATTTTTCTCCTATAATCAACGAATGATCCATTTAAGACATCAATAATTTCTCTACCAATGTGTAAATAAGCTAACCTCTAATACTAAAGCTTCACAAAAGCTCTTTTTATTCTATTACATATCAACATATTCTTGTATTACTCTTGAAACGGAAAGTAAAATAAAAGAGTTAGAACAAAGGTGTTGATAATTAACACATAGTCAAAGCCTCTCCATTACTCCTCTTCTTTGTGTTAATAAGTCTTTTGTGTTTCCAAACCGTAGCTGGTGATGTAGTAATCGCCGTTGGAAGCAAGACACACACTTGTGAATAAAAAGAAGCAAGAAAAACACTTGGTTTTAGGATCAATGGCAAACTCAATACTCAATAACATTAAGCAAAGAAAGAAAAGATGCTCTCTACCATTCAGCCTTGAACTTCTTTGATGCTAAGCTTCTGATAAACTTGTGAAATGTCTAAAGATAATCAAAATTCTGAGCCATCAAAATTGAATAGCAGATAATAAAAACCAGATTCTTGTGTCCACCGGTAATAACTAAATCATCTAGGAAGAAACTATAAATGTAAGAAAACTAAACAAAGCAATCTCTCCTAATTTCATACATCTTCAAGCAAAGATCTTGTTTTTTTCAAATCTTGATCAGATCAAGCTTAAGCTTCACCCCAACTCAGAATTGAATAGCTACGAATAGACTCAACACTAATCTAAACAAACCTACTTGTGAATTTTTTTTCCCGCAATCCCGTAATATGTAGTTTTTTTCTGCGATTTAGGGAAATAAGTGATAACCTCTTACCAGCTTACGAGAGGAAGAAGAAGACAAAGGAGAAGAGAGCTTGGGTATAGAATCATGATATTAGCCATCAGGATCTTTAGCTTCGACGTTACCAGTGTGATGAGAGCAAGAAGAAGAAGACGAAGGATTTCAGTTAGGTTAAAAAAACTATCCTGCTAATTCTACGCATAATTAGAGAATAATGATAATTTGAATTTAGTTTTATTTCTTAACCCAGTGGCATTCCATTGTAATTTTTGTGGAAAACTTAGGGTTAAGTACTAAATGTACTTCTGTTTTAATAGTTTAGATAATATACGTCTTTTAACTAAAAGAAAGTAAGAAATTTAAATCATATTCGAGAAGTGATAAAAATCTTCTTACATACACTTAATATTTCTTCATCTTAAAGTCTTAAACAAAACCTACTAAATAAGTATTTTAAAAGAATAAAAGTAATATCAGCTTTTCATGGTTGCTAGTTGCTTCCCTGATCTGAGGCACAAAACGTGGCTGCTTACTTTAACAAAAAAAAAAACTTATATCTGAAGATCACAGTTCCATGGCAGTATGGCACCGTAATGCAGTACAACTCTTGATCATAATAAATATATTTATATACTTTTGAAAATAAATGGTTAAAAGGCTTCAGTCACATGCATAAAGGCTTTATAGAAACATTGAGAATTGAGTAGTAAAGCAACCACATTATTATTATTTTTTCCATCAACATCGTTTCTGATACTTTGATAAAATAGTATGTGTTTATATATATATATATGAAAAATAGTATGTGTGTGTACTAAAGTTTTATATTTTCTAAGAAAGGCTTTTTTGATTCACAAATTTACAAGACCATTTTTTTAAAAACAGTTGCATGAAAAAATGGATACATGAAAGCAGATGCGTCCGAGCAAATATTATATTTCTCAACTTTCCTAGCGAATACTCTAAGTGTTTAGATCTATGTGTGTGACAGTTTGTGTGCATGTTAATATAACCACTTGACGTGTCCCACTTAGCTTAATTTGTAAGTTTGTAGCCTAAAGCCTCTCTGCTTTAAGAAAGGACATATTTTAACATTAATCAAATATTTAATTTGATCGGTAAGTGTCACTTGGAACATATGATGGGGCTTTGTGATGAATAATCACACCCCACTATCTTTGGTTGGCTTCACAAAACTGCTCATTAGATATCCGTTAAAGGAGATTTGGATTTGAAAAATCAAATGTCTAATTTTGGTTTTACCTTTTCCGTATTCTGAAACTTAAAATCTCTTTTGTGTGGAGTCTCCTGATGTGTGGGTTAAGACTAAACTAATCACATTTGTAAACCAAAAGCATAATTATCCCTTTTGCGAGAGTGACTTTATATAAAAGTACTAGTTTATTATAAACCCATATGGTTGAATTTCTCTGCTAATCAAATTCCGGTGGGGTATAGTTTTGATCCTGGAGATCTTATAAAGATAATAAACATCATTTATGTCAAAGTTGATGGACTGATAAGGATACCTGAATAGTGCTAAACAAGAGCAGCAAGAAAGATTTGTCAGCTGGTGCTTCTATTTGTCAAATAATAACACTTTTGCCGGGACATGTATAAAACATAAAGAAGAGTTTAACTGCATTATTCGCAAGTTCGAGATATATTATGGATTTCAGGAGATTAAACATCACACTATTATCAGAATGTCAAACTTTTTGGCTATCGGTCTCACAAATTTTGGTCTATAAATAGCACTTCTTTATAATGGAAAATATGTTTAGCCCAATTCTAGCTGTAA